AAGTCAACTTTATACAATAAATAACTTTAAAATATAATGAAGACTTATTTATGAAAAATAAGTTTTATCCACTCACGAGGTATGAACTACAAGCTAGATAGGCTGATAGACGTTTCCAATCGCCTCGTTACCTCCTGAAATACGATAATAATAACCAATTTATCCACTATCGAATCGAGAAACCTTAATATCTAATAATATAACATAATTCAAATGCTCTTGGTACTTAAATAAATTCTCAAATTTTCCTTTATTAATTGGAGCTAATCACACCTTATAATCCCTTGGTTAATCACTAATTTATCAACATAACGATCATTTCAAATTTAAAACTAATTTTACTCTCCAATCTAATGAAACTAATAATCACAATTCCACCCACATAATATACATTTGTTCCATAAAATCAATTCCCAAGTGAAATATTTCATTTACATAATCACTTCATAATTAATTAATTAAAATCCCCAAAATCGGATTCTAGGGTTTTCCCAAAAATTTGACATCTCTATACCTTGCTGAAAATTTGAAATGAATAAATCCCCACACTTGAGCTCCAATTTGTGCAAATATCCCTAAAATTCGACATATTATTCAACAAGTTAAAACCTTAAAAATTTTAACATAATTCATACTTTATCACCTAAAACAAATGGAAAATTTCAACCCAACTTGAAGATATCAACCTTACCTCCTTTTCTTTTCTTTTTCCCTTCTTCTTTTCCTTTTTCTTTTCCTTTTTCCCTTCTTCTTTTCCTCTTTTTTTCTCTTCTTTCTCGGTCTCTGCTTCCCGTAACTCTGTGTGTGTGTGTTTTGGTGTGAAGTGAGAAATAAATGGGTCAAAGATTTGAATTAATTTGTCCACAATCCCATAATTGCACAATAAATCCCTTAGCTTCACTTTTTAGTAACATTTAATTCTTTAACTTCCAGTAGTATATATATAAATTCCAAACTTTTAAATATATCCAATTCAACCTTTATATTTTGCCAATTGCAAAATAGTGTGTGTGTGTGTTTTGGTGTGAAGTGAGAAATAAATGGGTCAAAGATTTGAATTAATTTGTCCACAATCCCATAATTGCACAATAAATCCCTTAGCTTCACTTTTTAGTAACATTTAATCCTTTAACTTCCAGTAGTATATATATAAATTCCAAACTTTTAAATATATCCAATTCAACCTTTATATTTTGCCAATTGCAAAATAACCCAAATAAAATATTTAATTTCGTTTTAGTCCTTGATTGACTTTGACTTTGACTAGTAAATATTTGAATTTTTGACTATAAAAAATTGGATTGTAACAGTATTCATCTTCATTATTAAAGGTCATGAAATCAAATATGAAAGCCTAATCGATGGTCTAGGCTAACTAATATTATTCCTATACCAAGTCGAGCTTGATTGGAAGATACGTCTACAAATAGCTCCCATGGAACATCTTCTTGTAGGCATTTCTATAGGTCTGTGCTAAACTTAGCCATAAAATAATCGGTGGTTTGTAGGATATATCGAACTGTCCTAGCTCAATTGCTATTTGACCATCCAACCTAAGGTGTCAGGTTTCTGCAAAATTTAACTCAATTAGTAATTAGATAGGATCGAAAAAGAAGAAAATTATGGTCGTAATTCCTTGCTACCATAATAGTAGTATATGCCAATTTTTTAAAAAATGGCATAATTCTTCATCATGGAAAGCTTTACTAACGTAATACACAGAATATTGTGCTCCTCCTTCTCTAATCCGTACGATGATAATGGCTTATCCGTAGAAAACGAGGTATAGCGACTGTTTCTTATCCATTTTATGTTTTAAATAGACTGGTTAGGCTTCTCTTTCTTAATCTCTTTTGAAAACCCCTTGGAATTTTAAGGTCCATTCGAACTTTTTTCTCCCACGTTGTCTATCAAAGAAAGGTTTGCACCGGTCCGTCGACTTTGAAACAAAATGACTGAGTGCAGCTATTCTTTCGTTGAGATGTTGAACTTCATTATGTCATCTAGGTGCCTTCATTTAGATGATTGCTCATATTTTTTCTATATTACCTTCAATTCCATGTTGGTTTACCTTGTAGCCAAAGAACTTGCTAGAGCCTACTCCAAAGGCGTATTAAATGGGATGAGCTTCATCTTATATTCTCTCAGGATCTTGAACATTTTTTTATAAATGTTGTATGTGGTCTTTGGTGACCATACTTTTAACCAACATGTCATCAACATAGACTTCTATGGTTTTACTAATTTTTATATGTACATGGTATTGACAAAGTTTTGGTAGTTGCTTCAATATTTTTAGGCCAAATGATATCATGTTATAACATAAAGACCTCTGTCAGTGATAACTTGGTCTAGTTCATACATCAAAATCTAGTGTGCCCTGAGTAGGTATCCATGATGCTAGCACTTCATGTCTAACAACTATATCAACCATTTGATCTATCCTTGATAGAGAAAAACTATCCTTTAGTAAGCTTTTGTTGAGGTCGGTAAAATATGTATAGACCCTCCAGTCTTCTTTATTCTTCTAGTCTAGCACTAGTTTGATGATCCACTTGGGATAGGTTGCCTCTCGAATGAACCTATTGCTAGTAGCTTCCGAATTTCATTACTTAAAGCTTCATATTTTTCTGAATTGATCAATCGTCATTTTTATTGTATTTGTCGAGTTGAGAGATTAAAACTAAGCCCTATAGTAAACAACCTTTGGGTTGATTCCCTTCATATCTTCATGACCCAAAAAAAAAACGTTCGGATTTTGTTAGATGAACTCTACTAACTGGCGTCATAGCAACGATAGTAACTCATGACCAAATTTGAGTTATTTAGAGGGTTTATCTGAGCTGACCTAGATTTTATTCAATTCTTCCACACATTTTGCTCCCTATTACTAAACTTTATTTTCGAATCTAGTAGGTTGAGGTCGATTTCAGCCACGTAGTACATATGCACTCCATGTTAGGCAGTAGTCATTTTAGTCCTTGACTCATTATATTGTGCTATATGACATTTTTTAGCAGCTTCTTTGTTACCCTTGATTTCTGCTACCCCATAAGGAATTGGGAACTTGATTGACTAATGATACATTGATGTGATTGCTTTTAAGTCAAAGAATAGGTGTTATCCCATAATAGCATCATACGAACATGTAAAATCTATTACTATGAACTCAGCTGTGACTTTGCTCTTCAAGGGAATTTACCTACCTCCAAGTTGAGCTTAATTTTTCCTTGAGGCATTATCAAAGTTCGTTTTAGTCCCAAAAGTGAATTTGCGTAACGTTGTAAGAAGTGCAGTGGAATTTCCATCAATTGAGGAAGCTGGCATAAATTATGTTGAAGAATCTTCCTATATTGACAAAGACCTTCCATATATTTTCTCCGATGATGGGTAAAGTGATTATAGGACACTTAATCATGCCAGGTTGTATTATAGGACACTTAATTCTTTCAATGTTATGTTTCTCTTCCTTCCATTGATATGTAAATGAATTCTTCTTATGATGTTTCCATTGTGCACCGAAATTTTCCATTACGCAATGTAGCATATCCTTACAGGTTCATACAACCATATCAAAGTTCGTAACATTCTACACAAGATGGTTTTTCAAGAACTACAAGTACAATATTCTCTTTACCTTGAGAATGACATCAAGACCAACGAGTACAATATTTTAGGCCGACTAAAATATTATCGTAGTCAACAAATGTGTCCAATCTAGGTTGACTAATATAGTTTCTTTGCTGATAAAGGTCAATGAGCCAAGTCCCTAAGAAATATAATAAGATATCTACCAACCCGTTTCATTGTAGTCGGGGGATATGTATAGTCTAGGCCGACTCGTAATTTTTTTGGTCAATAAAATATTGTCCTCGGTGGCTAATATATTTCATTGGTCGGTAAATGTTAATGCGCCAGGCCGATATCCACCATCCAGCGACCCATTTCATTATAGTCGGGGAATATGTATAGTCTAGGCCAACTAGTAATGTTGTTTGGTCGGGACAATATTGTTGTCGATGGCTAATTTTACATTGGTTGGTGAGATTGTTAGGCAATGATGATTTTCATTGAATATTTCTATTTGGTCAGGAAAAATCAATCGACAAAGGTATAACCCACTAAAAAATTTCTTTGGTCAATTAAAATAGCATTTTCGCCGACCAAATTTTAGTTGGTTGAAAAATTGGTCGATAAAGCCATGATTTCTTGTAGTAGGACAGTGAAATTTGACCTGTGTAATTTGTTCAATGATGTTTAATTTGAGCTGTATAATTAGATCATGGTTAGTATAATTATAATCAACACTAGGTGAATGTCATGCACTTTATGCTTTATTTAATTCATAACAATTATTTGGATAATCTTCTCTATTAAATCACAAGCATTTGTTCATTACAGAAATGTTGGAAGGCATATTATATTTCGTTGTATCCTTGTTTTGAAATAGAAGAGTTCTAACTAAATATCGTATACTTTGCTTTTCTGTAGTATGGGTGCGAAAAGGAAGACAAGCAAAGAAAAAGACTTCTTTTGCCATTTGTGTGGAACATTTTACGACAAACAAAGAATTTCTAAACATAAAAAGTGTTCATAAGCATATGATGAACAAAGGAGGCAAAGAATGCACAAAATGCTTTAGGATATTTTCTTACAAAAGCCAAATTTTTTGAGCATAAGAATCATGACCATGATCCCAAAGGAAAGGGAAGAAATTGACAAAGCAAGGTAAAGTATACATAAGTCAAGGAGTGATATTATATTTGGTATATTTTTTTATTTTTTATTTTTTGTATATTTTAGAACATTTTCACCATTATTTCTTGTTTATATTTAGTATACTTCTGTAAGCAAACCTCAACGATAAGGGAGAAATATTGAGCATGTCAGAAAGGAATAAAGTTTGTAAAGTACTCGATTGAAGATAGGAAAAAATAAATATGAGTTTTGGTCATCTATCTAGAAGAATCTCAGCACTTGTGTTGTTCTGCAATCATTCAAGTGGTTTGATATTATACTTGAAGGATGTTAGAGTCGACTTCCTAATGGAAACTAACACTTGGTGTTGATGGGTACATGCTAAAATCATATGTATGATATTCTTGTACTCTGATATTGTTGCTTTTCTATAGGGAACCATGTATAAGTTTGATAAACCCCCCCACGCCTACTACTGTGGCTTTATAGTAACACTGCATTTTTCAATTTTCATTGTACTTAGATATTCTTTTGATATTATGATTTTCTTCCTTCCATTGATATGTAAATAAATTCCTTTTATGATGTTTCCATTGTGCACCAAAATTTCCCATTGTGCTATGTCGCATTTCCTTACAAGTTTATACAGCCATATCAAGGTTTGTAACGTTCTACAACATGACCGTTTTTCAAGAACAATGAGTACAATATCCTCTTTACCTTATAAGAACATCAAGGCCAACAAGTACAATATTTTAGGCCGACTAAAATATTATCGTAGTTGACAAATGTGTCAAATCTGGTCGATAAATATATTTTCTTCGTCGGTAAAGGTCAATGAGCCAAGTCACTAAGAATATAATAAGATATCCACCGACCCTTTTCATCGTAGACGGGGGATATCTAAAATCTAGGCCGACACGTAATTTTTTTGTCAGTAAAATACTGTTTTCGGTGGCTAATATATTTTCTTGGTTGGTAAATGTTGATGTGCCAAGCCCCTAAGAAATATATTAAGACATCAATCGATCCA